AACGAGGCCGGCCAAGCAAAGCCGAAGCGGAGCGACGCAAGGCGGCTGCCGAAGCTCGAGGTGAAGCATACCCTCCTCCCCGAAGGTCGGGGCCTCATAGGCTGAAAGCTCCTTCAACACCAGCCAGCCCTCCCGGGGTTATGTCTTCAAGCACTTCGTTTACACCTCAGGCGGGTCTCCGGCCCGTGGAAGTCCAGAATCCGGAGCTGCGCTATGCACCCCCCCATGGGAGGCCAGTCACGCTCATGGCACCCATCGACGATGGACGAGCAAGAGGGGTACCGACTCGTGACCCCGGACCGATACTAAGAGAGCTTCCAAGACCGACCGACCCACGGCAGACTCTACCTTCACCCCAAGCGTTACAAATGAGCCACGCAGAGCCGGTGGCGCGAATGGATCCTGGGGAGCGACCATTTGAGCCTCGTCCCTCAGAAAGGTTCTCCTTTGGGGACAGCAGTCGACGTATCCTGACCGATCCTGCAAGCAGACGGCCAGAAGCGCCCGCATTGTCTACTCCCGAACTACCTGCTGCCACTTCAGCCGAAAGAAGACCCGAGTGACATCATCTGGCTAAAGAAGAAGTTGCAGGACGGTCTTGTCTCTCTCTTTCTCTTTCTGCCCCTTTCTCTCTTTCTTTGTTGTAACCATTTCTGTTCCCTCTTGTCTTCAAAAGCCATGGTTGCTCACGATGAACGATATAAACTCTTCAGCTTTGAGCGATAGATAGCATTGGTTCTCACTCATCACGAACCAGTTGAGAAGACGACTTGCGATGAGTGCTACGACTAACGGCATATTCGATGCAATCTTTGCTTTTTTCTTTACCAAGCCCTGTGTTTTTTTCTTTTTCGACGAATTCTGATTGCTCACGATCGGCAATGGCCGTCAAATCAACAAGTTGATACGTCCGCGCGTTGAGCAGCCGAAGCACACAGGTCCTATCTCTTTCTCTGACAGATGTTCTCTGACTTATCTAACTCCGACGAATACATATGCGCACCACGATACTCATTGTCTCACGCAGCAGAAGCAAGATAGGTCAAGCCTCCGCCTGAGCCTTGAACATACTTTGTTTCATACGAAATGAGTCCTCTTGTACGCGGCCATGTTGAACGCGCCCAAGTTCCTATGACAACGACGTTACTTTCCTCGCCTGCGGTCATTATTGCATATCTCATTTCTCTCTATAGCGTCTCCCATGTCTTTCCATTCAAAGATCGACATGTACGATCAATCAATCTACGACCACGGCTGCATATTGCCACTATCTCTCATGTTTTCATTGCCTTTCATCATCGTTCCTCCTTTCCTCGTCCACCATTTTGCCTTTTTCCTTTCCCCCTTTTTTTTTCATGGGAGGTCTTATGTGCTCACCCGGATGGGTCTGATGCCCTTGTATGTATAATAACTAATGTCAACATCGCAGGCACATTCACCTGTCTTATGTCGAACCATGTCCTTTTGAACGTTTGCTATATTTTTCCAGAGACTAAGCTGGTAAAACTACTTATGTGAAGATTCCGTGCATACCATAGAGGTTGATAGCTACAGGTCATATGTCCAGCAATAGATCATTCATCTCAACACAAATAGTGGCGTAGAGAAATATGCCTAGTGGAGCACCACATCGAAGAACAATCTTCCGACGGCGCCGATTGCAGTCGGGTTCAACACCTCAATCTTCGATATCTCAAGAATTGTGATTGCCCCTGACACGATCGAAGAGGTTCTTCAACTTGGTTTTCGCGTTTTCCGGCGACGACGTCAACGAGCCTCCCGTAGCCGTCGATTTAGTGGCAGCGTCAGGCTCGTGATCTGCTGTGGTAGCAGGTGCAGACAGCTGTTCCTGAGCATGGGCTCCAAACTTGAACTGGTCATCCAGCTGAGTTTTTATCATGCTCACTCCAGAGCGCGGGCTGAATGGCGCCATGATCTTCTCACCAATAACTGTATCTGCTTCGCAAGCAGCAGTTTCGTAGTTCGTCTCAAGAGACCCGTCCTCGACAAGCCTTAAGACCTCGTCTTTGTCTTCAACGCGCCGAGTTAAGTACACTTTGGGTAGAGTACCTTCACGAGCCAAAGTGAGTTTACGGATTCGAGCGATCTCCTGTCGATACGCTGTTTCATAAATGTCGAATTCAGCAGCACCTGGTGACTCGCTCACTATAGGGATAGCCTCATTCCCTGCTAGACTCGTCTCTAGGGGCTCGTCTGACAGTGGAGTTTCCGATTGGTCGGCGTTGCGCTCCATATCGGTATCATGTCCTCCTTCCAGATCTGACCCCGTGTAGGTGGATGGACCAATAAAGAGGTATGGGAATGCCTCTTCTAAAGGATCCCGTGCGTGGCCCCTGGTACCCTCGACGCTGCGCTTTGTTGTAGCCGAACTGGCCCGCGACAGCATTTTCTGGGGGGAAGGAGCCTGACGAGAGAAAGTCGCCTGTAGATCGTCGACAGACTTGGTGCAAGGCTTGTAGCTGGAGATAGAGCCTGAATCTTGTCTCTCCGGTGTAATGCCCACAGAACGTTCGGTTGAGCTGCCTAGCACAAGGTCTTGTTGGGTAGTATACTTGCCGGCTGAATCACTAATTTCGGGTGATTTTTCGCACTTCTGATGATAGCCTTTCAGAACATTCTCACGTTCCCAGGGCTTTCTATTGTATGAAGTTACACTCTGGCTTTTGTTACCCATGAGAATATCGCTGGCCGAGACGCTCTCTTCCGGGTCCATCTCGAGCGGCGGCTCCACGAAATGACTCTCATACTCCTGGCCGAGTATACTTTGCATCACCGGCTCGGCTTTAGCTGGCCCTAGAAGCCGTTTGAAACGTTTCGCAGCTTTCATCTGCAGCTTTTATGTCAGCTGATTCCGTGGGAAGACAGAGTAGCGTCAGGACACAAAGACATACCACAGCCATAATGTGGCCCACATTCCTTGTTATAGCGGTATTCATTTCCTCCTCAGTTGGGGGCTCCACTATCTCCGCAATATTCTCCTCCTCAGGCAAGAGAAGGTCGGAACCGTTTCTTGTCACCCAGGGATGCGCCTGGACTATTCCATGAGACACGTGTTGCTGTTGATATACAGCAGGAAACAACTCACTCGCAACTCTCTCATTGTGATCCTTTTGCTTGGATCCTTCTCCAGTATCCGCAATATCAAGTCTTTGAAGTTATCATCCGTTTCCTCTTCGCATACAACGGGGTCGTTTTTGATGGCTTCATAGAGTTCGAAGATGCTTTGCTTCTCAAATGGCAGCCTCCCATAGCGAAGACAGTAGAGAGTAACACCCATAGACCAGATATCTGCTGCTCTTCCCGAGACATCGCCATGCTTTACCACACACAGCTCCGGCGGAAGAAAGGCAGGCGAGCCAGCCGATTTGGCTGTGAACATATCCGAATCCTTCTCAAACATCTCGGATACTCCAAAATCAACAATCTTGAGAACGTCATCATTCGTCAATAAACAGTTGTCTGGTTTTATATCTCGATGCACGATACCCTGGCCATGTAAATATTCAATTCCCAAAATCAAGTCGCGGAACCAGCAGCGACATTGTTCATCACTGTAAGGGTCGGCCCTTTCTTCCAGTCCAACCTTCATGATCACGCCCTTTTTACACATTTCCATCACCATATATAGGGAGTCCTCAGTGGGGTCATCTAAAACTTCAATCAAAGACACCAGGTTGTTGTGGTTCAGCTTCTTCATGATGGCGATCTCTTCCTTGATGAGATAAAGTGGGTTCTTGCCGTGCTCGTCCTCATTCCCGGACGGATGACGATGTAGAGGCGAGTTGAAGCCATCTGATGGTCGTTTAGGTCCTCGAGGTCGGCGGAGAAGATGTGATTGGGCGCGTTTCCTTAGTCGTGATTTAGAGAACTCCTTGACGGCCTGTGGAAACACACATTTTGTTAGCATAGCGTTCATCTCGCATACAGCAAACAGCCTTACGCATCAGAAGGACAGTTGCCTTACAAATTCATTCCCATATTGATCTACTGCGAGGTGAACTGCACCGAAGGATCCTCTGCCAATCTCCTGCTTTATAACATATTGATTGATCCTGTGTTCGGCAGTCCCATCATCTTGGCTCGTCGTATACTCGGAGCGAGCATTCAGGGTTTCCTGCCTCCAATAAATTAGTCAATCAGATGCAGCAAAAAAGTGATCGAGTGATAATAACCTTCACTGGGCGTCTGACTTTCGGATTTCGGCGATAGTGCCTCTGCGGGCTTTCAGAGGAAGGCGTGGAACTAGTGCCAGGATCTATTCAGCAATGAACACTTGCAAATTGTATAAGAAAATATGCAGGATAACCGAGCGCAGTGGCATCTAAGAATGAATGACGAAGCCGGGAGTATATAGTTCGACTCACGCGTAACGGCTAGGCTTGGGTTTGGGACGTTTATTCATGGCGTTGAGGATATCATCGTGCTTGGGTGCAGCAATTTCGTCGGCCATCGAATGAACCTCAAAGTGTTCAAAAGCCAATGGAGTGAGAATGAATTATGTCTAGCAGAATTGTATTCCTTCAAGTGTGAAATGCTGAGTATTATTGCACTGATAATAAACCTGGATGCCTAAGCCGAATGTGGGGAATATCGGGGAAGAGTCGAAGTTCCGATGACAGGTCAAAAAGGGACTGAAACGAGAGTAAGTACGGAGTAAAGGCCCACGCAAAAAGAAGAAATGTGGCCAAATTGCTAAATATCACCCATCAGGCTATCTTTCCACAGTTCGGAGTGAATGTGATGATAATATTTGAGTGGGATGAGGGAGCGAAAGGGTTGTTGAGTTGACACAACTTCGAGAGAGAGGGGAAGTGGTTTCTCACCGCCCACGAGCATTCTTGTCTCGACGAGCCTAATTGAACCGCTCTTATTGTTACTCACCACCGTCGTTGTTGAGTTAATTTCCACGGCTTGATATCTGCTGCATTCTCTTGCTCTCTCGGTATTCTGGTCGTCGTTGTCGATATTCATCCGGTGAAATGGTCGTCTATTCGTTCTATATCTTCGACCGCCACGGTAATAATCTCCCTTTCCTATTGTAAACAAAAACAATAGCTGATCAGCCCCTTTGCACGCTTGTAGCCGAGTGCATCTATAAGAGGCGATGGCTTCCCCGTCCGGCCTCGATAGTCGGTAAATCGTCGCGACCGACTTCTGAAGTCGCTACTCAGAACGGTGTCCCCTCTGTTTTCGGCCAATCTGCGCGGACGACCGATGACGATGCGAAGTTGATTTTCGGTACTGTTTTTTCCCTTCGAAACATGGTGCGCAAGTTGGGAGGCGAGGATGACAGGTGAGAATATAGCCATTGAGCTGTCTCTACCGAATTCTGAACTCGTAACTGACGAATATTTGTACAACTAGCTTCGTCACTTATCGCACCAGCCAATACAAGCTTCACTACTACGAAACTCCCACGAATATCAAGTTTGTCATGCTCACGGATGTCAAGAGCCCTAGCATGCGAGTTGCTTTACAGCAGATTTATATCAATCTCTATGTCGAGTATGGTACGTGATTCGGGGTCAGCCTCGATATTGTCCTAACTATTTCTGACGATTTGATCATTATTAGTTGTCAAAAATCCTCTGTCACCTGTCGAACATCCGGGAGGCGTGGGTGTGAATAATGAACTGTTCGAAGAGTCCCTCGAGCAATTTGTGGTAAGTACCGTCAGCCTTACAGTTATTGAACCGACGCGAGGTTCCCATAATCTCTTTGAGACGTTGTCTTACCTATCTATAGACCCGAGTCCTATCCTAGGCGCCGATACCCGATGGATAGACCGGCAAATATCTTTATACGTAACCCTTTTATGATGCTGGAACGCCTGACTGTCGTTGTTATATTCTCAAGGATCGGAATATCCGGTCATGTATCGATCGTGTTGGCAGGCTTACGTGAAATACGAGGTCGGAATTTGCCAATTCCGTCTCTGCAATCGAACACGCCCTTTGAATAGGCCATTCCACACTTGCGAGCATAAGGAAGCCCCAGCAAACAGGAACCGTTTTCTTCCAGGGGCCATCACAGCATGAATTGAAACCATCTGTGGTCTCACCATCGTCACTACCGGCCGAGGAGTCGTATATACAGCTCCAGCCGACAGTTGGTCTTTCAAATGCTGCGGCGACAACCCATGCTCTTCCCGTGGTCGAATTTGGCCTTATGTTGCTATCTGTTGTTGAATGCACTTTTCGACCGCCTTGTGCCTTTCGAGCATCCCGGAAGATCGCATTCAAAGGGTATTCTGGAAATAGTCGCGCGTCCATTGTCGGGGACTGCTCGCTAATTGTGACTCAATGACAATAGCCCACGCCAATTGACCTGAGGAACAACCCTTCTGGTCATGCAATTGCCTTCTCAGAACATTGTATAGCGGCGACATGGTGAGTTCGGACCAGGCATGGGATCTTTCGAGAGACCATACGCCAAGATAGAAGTGCTAGGGCTCATTCAAGTGAACCGAGGAAATTATGAGCACGTTGGAATGCAGTCGAGAATGAACCTGTTAGACACAACTCGCTGAGAGGGGATGGATCTCTGTTCTTACTTGCAAGAGAAGGAATTGAGGAACAAGCATTATGCAAATCCAAACGACAACTCATCGTTGTGAAATGGTCCGTCTACCCTTAAGGTCAGCAAGATACGGTTCCTCGTACATGCTGATAGGTTCTCATAATCCCTCATACCAGTCGTGGCCTTGTTGGGATCAGCATAAGTTCTAAGAGAAAGTGCAGAAGCACCTGCAGTCATCCCAGGAAGAGTATCCCATATTAGCCACTGCAATGCAGCTCAGGTGTCTTGTTTGTATCTCAGGTCTCGTATAGAGGCTGCAGGGCCGATAATGCAAGAGCATCCATATCAATGATTGGCGCTCATAATTCGCTCATCCGCCAATGGTGTACGCTACGTAGGAACCTGTGGATGGCATTGATTGATAAAATAACTCAAAGTTTGTGCCTACGCTCGTCTAACAGGACACTGGAGCTGAGATATGCTTGACAAGTGACGACAGTAAAACATCAATCAACCTGTCTGCACTCTACAGTATGCAGCATGCATGCGGCAGACATGCGAGTTGCTCGACAAAACAGCATGTTTTTGGGATAATGGATCCGAGTTGCTTTCCTTTGCGTCCATACTTGGTCAAGTGCAACTGCTACTGTACCTTTGATAGTTACCGTTCATTCGAGTACTTAGGTAATAATAATGAATGGCTCGTGCCGACTCTCGTTCCACCAACCAAATCCGGGGCTAGCCTAACCAGGTTAAGCTTCTTCGGAAGGCCAAATGCAAATGGAGCAACGGAAGCTTGTTACCAACGCATTGATGTGGGAAATTACACTCAGGAGTGATATCTATCAATTCGTAAGATACATGCCTACTGCAGTTAAAGGAAGTACCTACCTAAGCTACCGTACCTTTGGTAGATACTGTTTGATCTTTGCATTATGGGAATATTAATAACACTAACTAACATGGGCACACTAAATGGTACCTTATAGATCATTGGACGGTGAAAGTGGCTTGATCCAGGGTTTGTGATTTTCTTGGAGTGTCTCCAGATTTTACCTAGTAAGGTATGGTTCTCGAGTTACTCCGTACCAGAAGGGTTAACCCTTGACAAGACTCATAATCACTCCGTACAGGGCACCTACATATGAGACGATTACACCGAAGAATTATGAAGAGGTCGTCTATTATTCTGGCTAAGTTGAAAAAGTCCAGTCAGTTAAGCAGGTTTAGCCTTCAATGTAGCCTGGGATATGTACATTTACTGATAGAGTACAAACCACAAACGCTTATTCTTACAGTCCTGAAACTACCTTATGGCGGCTGTCCTGTGGCTTAAACTTCGTGATTACGGAGTACAACATTCTGTATGAAATACCGAGTGGTTGATAGCATAACAATAACCTTACCACATGGCAATATTAATAAGATGTTATCTTTAAACTATTCGTAGATATTCGTATCTGCGGGTAGCTCGAACAGGAAGAGCACGTGGTTCCCGTCCATTGCTTCTTCCTAAAAAAATGTCGTGATATTGATCTGTCTGGACGAAATGGATTTGTTGAGCATGAAGAAAATCTATTATCGCGAGTCTCTGGACAGGGTGTTTTTAATCGTACATTTCCCATACACCTTTACGGGCTGAGCCGAGCGATTCTCGCACCCACTCAGTATTACCTGCTGTTGCTGCAACATCCATGCTTCACCTGCCCGGAGTAGCGGTCAACGATAGTAGGTACACCAGGCAGTTACCTGTCGGTCATAGGATGGCCAGGTCGTGGTAGTGGTGCGTGGAAAATGTGGACTGTCTCCTTAAAATCCCGGGCATGACAAGCCAGGAAATCCACTGATCCCAGCTCAACCTTCTACAGTTGTGCACCAGAGCCGAACTCTGATCCCTGGACAGTTTATTCGGAGGAAAATTAATGGATGAGCCATGTTCTTGCATCCCGTTCTCCGGAATACTTCCCGTCTCGATCACGCCGTATTTCTTCGCCGAAGCTACTATTGTCCCATGTTATGGCCTAACATAGCAGGGGAAAACTTGGAGCGTGCATATCAGCTTATTTCTGGGGGACTGTCTCATTATCGAGGCAAGTAGCATTCGTTAACGAAGAGACAACTCATAATTCCCTTTCTGACTCAGAGGGGCTCCACGCAAGTTCGGAGGAAGAGATTGAAAGTCTTTGCAGCAGCTTGCCATGTCGCATGAGACGTATAACTAGAAGCAGTCCGCCGTCAGCGTTCACCGAGTCGCTTCAAGTCTCGACAGGTCCTTAATGCGGCTACTATCATTCCTTTTTTGTTGAACAGTCCGAGCAATGTCCCTGACAGCAAGTAGCAGTCCGAGATTTCAGCACATACTTCATAAAATATCGCTACTGGACGCTCTGTGGCATCTAGGAAGATTGATTAGGTGCAATTACATGGGTATTCGCGGTCATCGATAGCTTTCCTGTCCCCTGGCATTACATTGAACACATCGAATCTTCCAGCTGACAGAATCCTACTCTGCAACTTAGTCAACTGGGAGCTAGTCCGGTTCGTCACTCACTGATAACTCCAGATATTTCACTTGCGCAGATGTCTCCTAATGTTGCGGACAGTCTCCGTTATGTCAAGGGCGCTTCTGTTCTTTTCTGAGCAATACGCCTACGTTCCTCCCACTAATCTGGAGTGTAGAGTTTAGCCAAATATTGCAGGTCTCCTAGGCTTATCCGGTGACCAAAATAATTCTACATAGTTAACTTGCCCATGCGTCAGTGGGATTGACCAAAAAAGACTGTGATTTTGTAAGACCATACTAAATGAGCTGACTACATGTGCCCCTCACCACTGGCTCCCTTCAGCATTGCGCAATTCATTGCTTTCAATCAACAATAATATGCTCCGTATACTGGGTGTCTAATTGGTGTGATCAGACCAATTTATCCCACACGTTCTGATTGGCCCTGAAAATCCCTCGTTTCATCCTGCACCTACTGAATGGCCACCATTTCAATGTGCTTACAGCTTGATGATGTGCCAAGAAGACAGCATGTCTTTGGTAGCTGCCAGATGTTGGAAAGTGAAAAAGTGCAGGTGACTGCAGCATGGCGTGGGGTCCATCTTGCCAGAGCTTGACGATTGCTTAATGCTCGAGAGTATAAGCGGGAACTGGCTCTTGTACGAGCCGTCTATTGGGTCGGTTGTTTCAGCTTAGGAGCATAACAATAATGTGCGAAATATCTGGTTACCACTTCGTGCAAAAATACCATTTAACAATCTTGCATCTCTCACTCCCTTTCAATCTTCGTAGCTGCTGTGTGCTGATCCCGCGCAGCCAAGATCTTCACAGCGTAACCAAAACGAGAGACATGCATGATTGAAATGACTGGAGGAGAGGATGACGGATATCCTAGGTTAACTTCGTACACAGATCGCTCATGATCAGATCACGAAGTCATGTACACGAGAATGTGGGCTCCTTGGGCGTTGGTGATCGAAACTCTCTTGACTTCAAGAACAGCCGGTGGAAAGAGCTTTTAATCAGTACTGGGATCCATTGGCTGATTAACTTCACCACTGATGCAAGTTTAGGAGCTAATTTCGCGGGGAAATTCCATTGATCTGTCGGATCTTGTTTGACTAGATGGAAATAGTAGCTAGCTAACTACTCTGTGGCTTACCCTTGCATTAAAGGAATAAAGGCCTTCGTGGATAGTGTTTCCAAATCTCCTTGCGAATGGGATAGCTGTTCATTCACCCATCCATACTCCATCCAGTTGTCTATTTGACTGATGGTTCCCACTTATTTAGGTTGACCCTAGCCCTATATGCATACAGAATTGACAGTATAGCCCGGAGGCCGCGGAGACCGCAGAGGCATGAAGGCCTTATCAGAATCATCTGATGTGTAGCTGCTTTGTGCAGGAAAAGAGCCGGGCGATCGGTTTAACAGTTCTTGCTGAGAATAGTGCTTGACTGGCGGATGGCCCTCCGCTGCGAGTCGATCATCGGCCTCCATACAATGGGAAACAATTTGATATCCGTCCGAAAAAGCGGAAATCAGATATCTTTACAGTTCAACCCCTCATGTGTCTTGACTATTCCAGAGAAATTGACCTTTCAGGTGATGTTAGTGGAGAAGACAAAGCTTTTGAGATTGGTCCAAGAGGGGAGGACTACCCGCCATAGCTTGCTAGCTGATGGTGCTAATTGACACTTGAGAGCATCTAATGATCCAATTGTCCTAGAGAAAAGCCACT